CTAGGTTGCGCACCACCGAATTGCACCACGCACGCAGATGTATACACAACTGTATATTTTTCATGTTGTAAGTATATTCATGTTCAAAACATAGTGTTACAACATGTATTGTACCACGCCACATAGGTTACACCAGGGTGCACCACACAGAATGCTCCACAAATATTACACAGCATAGAAGGCACACCATACAATGCAAAACATGTATTGCACAACGTAGATGCGCCGCCGATGTTTCTGCACAGAGATTACACCATCAGTGTTGCAAAACGTACACTGATTGCACATCATGGCTGACACCACGTAAATTGCCCCCCCATGCATTGCCCCACGGAGATTGCACGGAGATTGCACAACCTAAGTTTTGGGCCCACGCTGGACAACATATGTATTGAGTGTGGTGGTGTGTGTGCGTGTTTTGGGGCGTCTGTCTGGGGACCTCCGCGATTCAGGATCCTGGGCGGAATGCGCACAGACGTACCACCCCTTGGATATTGAACTCCTCCTCACTCTATTATCCCTCCTCGACATCCTTCCCCTCCTGTTCCTTCTCCTCCTCCTCCTCCGCCGCCCCCCCTTTCATCATGTCATCCCTTCCCTATGAGGCTAGACTAGATCATCTGGGCACCAGTGCCAGGTTCCGCAACCAGTGCACATCAATAGGGTGGGAAACCATCACATCGTCGACTGCTGCCCCCTTCCTTTTCCTCCTCCTTTTCCTCCTCCTCCTCCTCCTCCTCCTCCTCCTCCTCCTCCTCCTCCTCCTCCTCCTCCTCCTCTTCCTCCTCCAACAGTCCCGGAAAAGATGAAGACGAGGAGGTGGAGGGAGGGCGTTCTCTGGGCCTCCTGCAGGGGCCTGGCTGGCCGCCGCGGCCAGACCCGCAGTGAAACTGTGGTCGGAGCGCACTGACAGTCCGCGGCGCCAGAGCTCCCGGCCCCTTCCCCAGGACCAGGCTTTCGCCCCGGATCTGTTTTAGGAGCCGGAGTCGAAGAGAAACCCGCCCGAGAGCGAGGAACTGCGCGGTGGGAGGGCCGTGGCAACGGGCCTCGAGCGGAGACGGTCGGGAACACCCACGCCACCCGACGTTCGCGTTTCGCGCCCGCGCGAGGCGCGGTCATCGTCGTGCCTTGGGGCCTTCGCGCCGCCCCTCCCCCCCAAGCCCCCCTCAAGAAGGGGACTGTCTTGAGCCAACAGAAGGGGCTGTGATGATGACGATGACGATGACGATGACGGTCATCGTCATCGTCATCGTCATCGAGCGTGCACCAGGTCGTCAGGTCGGCAAAAGGGGGTCGGTGTGCAAACGGCTTCCCAACCTGTGGCATGCTGGAGCGTCTACGGTGGGGAACTCTTGCGCGGCGTGTCGCGGCGGCGCCCCCAGCGACACGCTGCGCCTGACACGCTGATGGCGTGTCGCTCCGCTTCGCGTATCAGACGCCGGGGAAAGCTCGGAACGTTGATGCCTGGGGGCAGGAACGTGGTTCGCTCGCGCCCACGCGTGGTGAGCCAGAGCCAGCGGCGCGACACGCTAGACAATCGTTCCTGGACGTTCAACGCGAATCAGATTGCCGATCTCACTGGCTCCTGGGCCAGCCAAGAGAAGCAATATATGTTGTAAATGCGTACATATATAAATATATGTGTATATACATACATACATACATACATACATACATACATACATACACACATGCATACATGCATACATGCATACATACACATACACATACACATACACATACACATACACATACACATGCACACACACATACACATACACATACACATACACATACACATACACATACACATACACACATACATACATATATGCATACATGCAGACATGCATGTGTAAATAATCACACATGTACACACATATACATATACGGAAGCGTATACCTATACATGCATACATATATACATACATGCATACATATATACATACATACCTCACTACCTACCTATCTACCAACCTACCTACCTACATTCATACATGTGTGTATGCATATACTCATATATACATGCGCATATGCATGGACACATATATACATACATACATACATGCATGCGTGCACACATACGTACATTCATACATAAACACATACTCACATGCATAAATACATACATGCATGCATACATACATACACACACAGGCATATAGACACACATACATACATACATACATACATACATAAACACATACATAACTACACACATACATACATACATACATACATACATACATACATACATACATACATACATACATACATTTCATACATACATACATACACACATCCATACATACATACATACACACATACATACATACATACATACAGACAGACAGACAGACAGACATACATACATACATATGTACAAACAAACATGTATACATACATGCATACATACATACGTACATGCATACATGCATACATACATGCATGCATACATTCATGTACGCATACATGCATACATGCATACATACATGCATGCATGCATGCATGCATACATGCATACATGCATTCATGCATACATGCGTATATACATACATGCATACATGCATACACATACAGACATGTGTACATCGATATGTCTATAATATGTATGCCGAGCCTCTCCAGGCCAGGCGCTGGAGCGCGAGGCGTAGTCGACCTCACGTCCCCGCGCTGGGTGGCCTGATTGGCCGAGACGCGCGGTCCAGGAGGTGCCACAGGGGACTCCTCCGGGGCACCGCGCGATCTTTGTCTGGGCGGGGGCTCTGGAGCGGTCTCTTGCGGGCCTCGAGAGCAGTTTGGAGAGGTCTCGAGGGTGCGAGGGGTAATGATGATGCGACGCGCGGCTTCGCAAGGTGCGTGCTCGATGAGGGCTTGATGGATCAAGGAAACAGAGAAATGACCCCGTCGCCAGAATGGCGTCCCTCCAGGCTGCCATCAGCCTGCGGGAAGATGGAGCCTCGAAGTACGCCTCCAGCGGTCCAGGGAGCGCGGGCCCCTGCGGGCGCGGGCTTCCCTGCGGGCACGGGCAAGGGCACGGTTGGCATCGATCCGAGTGCGCTGCGGGGTGCGAGGGGAGGGAAGGGGGGAGGAGGAGGTCGGTCGGACGCGGCTTCGACGGGTGATCGGCATGCCGTCTCTGCAGTCTGACGCGCGCCCCCCACGTGCCCTGGTTGCAGGACCATTTGACTCCAACGGGGGGGGCGACGAAAGCGGGGGGGGGATGGAGGAGGAGGAGGAGGAGGAGGAGGAGGAGGAGGAGGGAGGAGGAGGAGGAGGAGGAGGAGGAGGAGGAGGAGGAGGAGGAGGGAGCTCTCCAACCCGGGTCGGCGGGGGAGGGAGGAGGAGGAGGAGGAGGAGGAGGAGGAGGAGGAGGAGGAGGAGGAGGAGGAGGGGAAGAGAAGATGGGGAAGGCGAGGAGGGGGCAGGGCGGGGGAGAGGGAGGGACACGTGGAGGAGAGGAAGACAAGCAGCAGAGAGGAATCGAAGGAGGGCCAGCCCAGACAACGGCTACATCCCTTGGCGCTTCTCGTCATGGTTGGGTCTCCTGGGGGTGTCTCGTCGCCCCCGGTCAGGGTGGACCCCGGAAGAAGGCCGGGGATGGACTTCGAGTGGATTTGGGCCACGCGGAAGAACCGCTGTTGTCTTGACTGGCCGCGCCTCCGGGGGACGGCAGGAAGCGGCGAGCCGAGGAGGAGGAGGAGGAGGAGGAGGAGGAGGAGGAGGAGGAGGAGGAGACCGAGGAGGGGACAGGGCAAGGCGGTAGACGCGGGAGGGCCGCACCAAGCCGAGGACTCGGCTATACACGCAAGATTGGCCCGGGTGCAAGAAGGGGTCTTTCGCACTCCAGTGGCACACCGTCACATGCAGGAAGACGACAGCGGCCTGCGTGATCTGCGTCGGCCCCCCGCGCGCCCACCGAGAGCCGCGCACCGGAGGTCTCTCTGGCGATGGGGCCACTCTGACGTGGCGCCTTGCATTCTTCCAGGCCGTACTTACGGAGCGTATCCGGGGGGGGGGGGGGGGTCGAGCACCTGGCTCCGCGCGGCTGCCCTGCTGGGGCAGAGGACGCCCTCCTCTGGACGACCTCCCCGCCGACCACTGCGATGCCCATCCTGAGGCCTAGGATTCTGAATTTCTGGGCTGAACCAAGCTTGAACAATTCAAGTGTAGCCGAAAGATGTGGTCCCCGATCGGGCCTGTGGGCGCGCGGTGCACGAGCGGGGCACTGGGGGTGGAAAGACGGCCAAAGGCGCGCGCGACGCCCTTGTTCCATCGCAGGCCGTACGCCTCGCCAGCGGCTCTGCACGGGAGAGCATCCGGTGCAACCCAGCCACGAATTCTCCGAATTTCCTTCCCTGAGGGGAAGCGATGGGGGTGGACCGGCTCAGAGGGGAGAACCATCGACATGGAAAAATCGGCGATCCGTCGCCGACAGATCGGCGGCATGGGCCCCCCGATGGCGAATCCGCTCGTTCCTGGGCGGGGCGCGCTGTCAGGTCCATCGCGGCGATGACGGGTGCCCAGAGATCCGATGTCGTGATTTTTTCAATACGCGGTCCCCCGAAGTCTCGACCCATTCCCCAGGACCGGTTTTTCATCCTGAGTCGTTTTTTGACGGTCCCGGGGCCCGGCGAGGGCCCCTAGAGGCAGAAAATGGAGAAAAACCTCCGTCTTGATTTTTTCAATACGTTGGATCTCTGGGTGGCTGGGCATCGATGCAGCTTCTGTGAAGCCCGCCCCCCCCAAAGCGCTGCCCCGGATCCCAGCGGGGCGCGCCACATTGGGCGCCACCGGCGCGGGCAAAAGCTCTCAAGATCGTGGGAGGCGCCCCGCGGGCGGCACAATTCCACACTGCCTATCTGTCAGATACCACGAGGGCTTCGGCCCAACGCTTCGGCTCCCTCCCTCCCTCCCTCCCTCCCTCCCTCTCCCTCCCTCTCCCTCCCTCCCTCCCTCTCCCTCCCTCCCTCTCCCTCCCTCCCTCCCTCCCTCCCTCACTACAAGCGAGAGAGGAGCCTCGCGGCAACCCTCGGCCCGGTCACACGCCGACTCTCGCCAGGGTGGCGCTGTGGGCGCCCCTCACGCACCGATTGAAGCTCTCCTTGGGGGGCGAAGACACACCGACACCGCTGCTCCCAGGACCTCTCCCCGGGCGCGTTCTGACCCACCCGCCGAACCGGCGTGTGAGTTTCTGAGAGCGTGGACTTGAGCTCGCTCAAGCTTCGCTCTGCAGGGGGGGGGGGACGTTATTTCCGACGTCATTTCCGACGTTGTTCGGTACACGGGCATATTTCCGACGTCATTTCCGACGTTTTTCGGTACCCGGGGACGTTTTTCGGTACCCGGGACCTCTCCCCGGGCGCGTTCTGACCAATACCTATGCTTCAAGGCGACACCAGCCATGGCGACGAGGGGCCAGAAGTGGCATCGGCCCCAGACATCCAATGTCTTAATTGATTCCTTCATTACGGGGTCCCTGGAAATCCCGTCCCTTTCTTCAGGGAACGGTTTTTCATCCAGGGTCGTCTTTTGACGGTCCAGGGCCTTGTGAGGCCCCCCTGCAGGCCGAAAACCTCCAGTCGTGATTTTGGTCACGACCCGAAGGGGTCTGGGTTGCGGGCAAGCTTTGTATCCATCTCCACTGCGTCTTGGAGTTTCGGGTTCCCCTCTCCAGGCAACAGAGGCGCAGTGGATCTGGATCAAGATCTGGCGCCTACAGGCTCGATTTTCATCCGTATCTACTGCGCCTCGGAATTTGTGGGCCCCTTCCCAGACACTCCAAGACGCAGTGGGCATGGAAATAAATATTGCCTGCATCGGTGTATCTTCCCGCTCTGGCTCCTTCGCCCCGAGGGGTCCGCAGAAATCCCGCGACCCTTCCTTAGGGCCAACGTTTCATCCCGAGACGTTTTTTGGTGGCCCTGGGCCCCGTGAGGCCCCCTCTGGAGGCCGAGAACTGCTGAGAGCCTCCCGTCGTGATTTTTGTCACAGCCCGATGCGGGTCTGGGCGTATAGAACAAGAAAAAACCACATAAACATAAACTTCTGGCGCTCCGCGCGGATTGCTCGGATTCGCGCTGGACCCCCCTCCCTGGCGCGCGGAGCGCGCCAGGGGCGGCGCCGGAGGCGCCGCCGGGGGGCCCAGGCGCGGATCCAAGAAATCCGCGCGGAGCGCCCCAAGTTTATGTCTCTGCTATTGCTCTCTTCTTCGAGTGCGTCTTTCCGCTCGGACTCTCCTCCGTCTCGAGGGGGTGGAACGCCACGTGGCCCTGGGCGCAGCCCGCCACGTCGCGCGCGCCGCAGCGCGAGTCCAGCAGCAGCCTCCGGTCCGAGACCTGCCGCACGCCCAGCACCACGGAGAGGCACCAGTGCACGGGGGCGTCCTCCGGCCGCGCGCCCGAAGGAGTGACCCCACGGGCACGACCCCCGAGGGGCCGCGCCCAATTACAGGGCAGCTTTTAATACATAGGATGTCTTAACATTTATGATCTTACTACATGACTACTTCATGAATAAATGTATGCATGAGCTCATCGTTGCTTTAATGATATGACTCCCTGAATTTTTATTATACATGATCCGCACGCGGAGCATGTCTTCAAAGCGGCAGTGTATGTGGCTTTGCTGTGTTCCTGCTCGCAACGAACACCGCCAGAGGCGGCGGAGAGCTTGAGAGATTCACGCGCAAAAAAAAATTGCGGCGGTCACACCCACACACACACACACACACACACACACACACACACACACACACACACACACACACACACACACACACACGTGTTTGGCGGGCCTGCTGTGTGACCCCTCTCGGGAGCCCCCAGGGGGAGCCCAGGCCCTCGGGAGCCAAACGGGGCCGATGGGACCCCGTGCTGGCCCCGTGGCCCAGCGGGGCTGCCCCGTGTTGGTCGCGACGGCCGCTCCAGCACAGAGCCCTTGCGACGCGAACAAGATGGACGGCGGCCAATCTCCGACAACATGATGTTGCTTGCCAAATCCAGGCCTCTCCCCAAATCTCGACATCCAGACCATCATAAACGGATCCGGGAAGAAAGGAGCTCGGAGGCCGCGCCTTGTAAAATTCAGATCGTCTGACATCCAGGAGTGACCTCGGGTGCGCGGCTTGCCGATCCTTGCGTGCGATGCCACAGCAGCGGCCTGCATGCTTGCGTGAGTTTGCCCTCCCCCCATCTCCCGCGCCCGCGCCGAAAGCGCCACACCAATCGCCATTCTGACGAAGGACAGGATCAGCCAGCATCGAATCGCGAAATTTGATCGAATCGACATTCTTGTCGGATGGGGCTGCATCGACACGGAGCCAACAACGAATCGGACCGGTTGCGCCAGAATGCACAGCAACGCCTTGCAGACGTCAGGCCGCACCGGATCGACGGGAAAACTCAAAACCGAATCGGATCGAGCCGGCCAGAACCAATGCTGAACCGGCTCCATCAGCCGACACGGATGTGGGCAAGAATTGAATTCATAACAACTCCGTCTACACTTGTCTGACCCCCTACCGTAGAAAGCTGACGCAATGGATATGGATAAGATGTGGCCTCTACCAGAGCAAGATCTTTCTATTTATCCACATCCACTTCGTCTAGGGCTCTTGCCATCCCTTCAACAACAATCCTAGACGCCGTGGACATGGATGCAAATCTCGCCCCAAGTGGACGCCGCAAGAGGGCCGCTCGCTGCAGGTGGATCCGCGCTGCAGGTGGAGGAGGAGGAGGAAGAGGATGAAAAGGAGGAGGAGGAGGAGGAGGAGGAGGAAAAGGAGGAGGAGGAGGAGGAGGAGGAGGAGTGCACCCGGCGTCCTCGCCGCCGCTCGGCTGCAGGTGGATCCGCCCCGGGGCCTCCCCGCAGCGCCCCGAGCCCTCGCCGAAGGCCTCCACGGCCCGCCTCGAGAGCACCTGGATGGGCGAGTCGTCCTCCGCGCAGCCCGTCATGTAGACCCCGTTCTCGGCCTGCGCAGGAAGCACGCCACCGCCACGGCAGGGCCAGGGCCGGACGTGCTCGCCTCCCGGCAGACCATCACGACTGGAGGTGCTCGGCCGCGTTCGGCCCCCAGGGGCTCTCGCCGAGCCCAAGGATCGTCTCAAAACGCCTCGGGACGCAGCTCCAGCCCTGGTGACTGGGTCGGGACTTCCAGGGGCACCGCAGTGAGCGTTGTCTTGTTCGGCGTTTCGACACTGGGCGGAAGGGGGGGGAGGCGGGGGGGGGTTCTGGCTCCAGGCCTCTGCTTAGTGCGACTGTCTGCAACCGTGCGTCCTCTGGGGGATGGGCTCCACCTGCTCGAAGCAGGCGCCCCAAACAGCCAAGATCTACTCCAGGGGCGGGGTGCGAGGGCCCGATAGGGCCCGCGCCGATCGGCCAAACAATGAATAAGAAAACGACGTCATCTTGAAAAAACAAGACGTCGGAGGTTTGGGAAGGCGGACCATCCTGGCCGACGCCAGGAGGATCTGCACACCATAGCCTGGGGCTCAGTGCGTGATGCTGGCGCGCTGGCCCGGAGAACCGACGTCGCGCAAAAATCACGACGGGGTCCCTTAGACCCCATCTTTCTGCAGCACTTCTCGAGCCAGATCTGTTGGCGCGTCGACCCTGAGATCCAACGTCACACAAAAATCACGACGGGGTCCCTTGGACCCCATCTCTCTGAAGCCTGTCTCGAGCCAGATCGATCCATGAGGGCCCCAGGGCCCGAAAATGGGCGAAAACGCGCGCAACAATCACGACGGGGCTCCTTAGACCCCATCTGTCTGCAGCACTTCTCGAGCCAGATCGATCCGTGAGGGCCCCAGGGCCCGAAAAAAGGAGGCGACAACGCCCAATACGGACAGCTTGCGAGCCTGGTGTTCAGGACCGCCTGGGAGATACTGGCGTCGCAGCTGTTCCGCACTGGGCGTTTTCGCCCGCATCCTTTCAGATCGTTCCGGCTCGAGAAACGCGGCTGACAGATGGGGTCTAGCGGTCGCGATCGTCCAATGCTATGGCGAGAGTACTAGTCATGGTGCGAGTGGCTCAGGATAATATTTTAGAAGCTCTGGAGTTTCTAGCGGCCTACAGCTAGTCCGTACTCGGCCGTCCTTCTCTGGCCGCACGGGAAAGCAAGGAAACCCCACAATCTTGGACCGTATCCTTGTTCCCACACAAGCGGCCCCAGCGTCGAATCGATACATCGAGTCGGGCCGACCTGAGAATCGAGTCGGCAGAAACCGGCAGAAGTCGGTTGCCAAATCCAAATCGGCAGGGCCGAGTCGGATCGAGCCAGAAACCGGATGGACGGAAGCCTGATCGGAATCCGAATCGGCAGGCACAATCCGCGTGCCCTCTGGTGGGACTCGTTACTGAAATCCTCAGCCGTCGAACGTCGTCGTGAGTCGTCCGACGTCGTCGAAAGTGGTCGCAATCGTTGACCGATCGACCGTCGTCGCACGTCGCCCGACTCCGTCGAACGTCGTCGCAATCGTCGACGTGAGCCGTCGAACACTGTCCGACTTCGTCGAAGCTGGCCCAGCCTGGGGGTCCCCCCCGAGGGGGGTTCCGGGCCCCCCGGGGGGGTCCCAGGCCCCTCGCGGCGTCGCTGCCTCCTCCTCCTCCCGCCCTCCTCCCTCCCTCCTCCCTCCTCCCTCCTCCCTCCCTCCTCCTCCCTCCTCCCTCCCTCCCTCCTCCTCCTCCCTCCCTCCCTCCCTCCCTCCTCTCCTCCCTCCCTCCTGCCTCCTCCCTTCTCCTCCTGCCTCCTCCCTCCTCCTCCTCGGGTGGGGTCCCTCCAGCTCGAGGGTCGAGGCCTGCGGCCGGCCTCGCCCCCCCCGTCGACGTCGCCGTGGGCGCAGTCGCCGCCGCCGACGTCGCCGCCAGAGGCCGTCGTCGCCGCCAGCGCCGTCGTCGACGAAGATCCTCCCTCCTCCCCCGGAGCGAAGCCAGATCTAGGGCGACGCAATCTATACATATCCACTGCTCCCTGGCCAGGCCCATCCTGAACACAGCAGCTGTGTATACGCTGCGCCCTCCTGGCGTGGCCAGGAGGGCGTATGCACAGCTCCTGGGTTCAGGATGGGCCTGGCCAGGGAGCAGTGGATATGTATAGACTTCGTCCCCCGAAGATCGGAAGAAATCGGCAGAAGTCGACTGGAACATCGAATCAACAGGAGTCGGATGGGGCGAACTCGGGATCGGAATCGCGAATCGGAATGCTCGCATCGAGTCGGATCGAACTGGCACGATACAATACGACCACCTCTGCAGACACCGTCCAGGCCCAGCTGAGACCAGGTGGACAAGGCCGCGGCCTCGGAAATCGGGTCTGGGCAACATGCAGTGCGAGACACATGGGAAGGAGGGGCGGAGAAAACGATCCTGAGGCTCGGAAATCGACTCGAATCGGCCCGGAGGAGTCAGAAAGCGCCCTGCCCACCCCCCCGACGCCAGGATTCGTCACAACGTTAGAGACCTCCTAGATGGGGTCCGAGTAGATGGGGTCGAAGAATCGCGCCGCATCGGCGATGCACCGGCGATGCGGGCGATGCATTGGCGCCATTGACGCGGCGAAAGTCGGGCTCCGCATCGAGCGGCATCGCCGATGCATCGGCGATGCGGCGCGATCCCTCGACCACATCTACTCCGACCCCGTCTGGGAGGCCTAGAAACGTGGACCCCTGGCAATTTCGACCCATTGCCTGGGAGCGGTCACTCAGCCTTCATCACTGTCTGACGATCCAGGGCCCGGGGGCCCAGCAAGTGCCCCAGGAAACGGTACCAAGCCCTCCGTCGTGATTTGTTCATGACCCGAGGGGGTCGGCAGTCTTCTGGCAGGAAGCTTTCTTTTTGGCAACGTCGCATCTCAAGGGATTCCCTCTGCGGGCTGGCCTCCTCCCGGCGCCCGCTGAGCACCCAGCGCAACCTCCCCGGGAAGAAGACGCAGTCCGGGTCGACCCGCACGGTCCTTGCCCGGGGGGGGGGGGGGGCAAGCCCATGCAGACTTCTGGCGTCATGCGCATTTGCTTCGCAACGCTAAGACGGAAGCCAGGATAAGGATGAGCGTCGTATGGGGAGTTTTGAATCGGGAGAGCCTGAAAACTCGTCGGCCCAGGAGATCGGGCGCCGCGGCCGTGTCGGAGCGGTCCGGGAAGCTCCGAGAGCGCTCCAGAACGCTCGGGAGCGATAGGTACATCCTCGCCCTATATAAAGGGAAATTAGGACACACAAATAAATACACACAAATAATTATTCACTGCGTGGGGATCCCCGTATGTGCATCTCCTTGCTGGCGCTCCCTTGGTGGTGGGACTCGGTGAGGACGAATCTGGATTTAAGTGTGACTGAGCTGCCTCTCTCTCTCTCTCTCTGCTCTCTCTGTCTCTCTCTCTCTCTCTCTGCCCTCTCTCTGTCTCTGCCTCTCTTTCCCTGCCTCTCTCTCTCTCTCTGCCTCTCTCTCTGCCTCTCTCTCTGCCTCTCTCTCTCTCTGCCTCTCTCTCTGTGCCTCTCTCTCTCTGCCTCTATCTCTGCCTCTCTCTCTCTCTCTCTCTCCTCTCTCTCTTCTCTCTATTCTCTCTCTGCTCTCTCCTCTCTCTCTCACTCTCCCTCTCTCTCTCTCTCGCTCTCTCTCTTCTCTTCGCTTCTCTTCTCTTCTCTCTCTCTCTATCTCTCTCTCTCTCTTTCTCTCTCTCTCTCTATCTCTCTCTCTCTCTCTCTTCCCTGGCTCTCTCTCTCTCTCTCTATTCTCTCTCTCTCTCTCTTTCGCTCTCTCGCTCTCTCTTGCTCTCTCTCGCTCTCTGTCGCTCTCTCTCGCTCTCTCTCTCTCTCTCTCTCTCTCTCTCTCGCTCTCACTCGCTCTCTCTCGCTCTCTCTCGCTCTCCCTCGCTCTCTCCCGCTCTCTCTCTCTCTCTCTCTCTGCTCTCTCTCTCTCTCTCGTCTCTCGCTCTCTCTCTCTATCTCTCTCTTCTCTTCTCTTCGCTCTCTCTTCTCTCTCTCTCTCTCTTCTCTCTCTCTCTCTCCCCCCCCCTCTCTTTCCACTCTCTCTCTCTCTCTCTCTCTCTCTCTCTCTCTCTCTTCTATCTCTATCTCTCTCTCTCTCTCTCTTCTCTCTTCTCTCTTCTCTCTCTCTCTCTTCTCTCTTCTCTCTTTCTCTCGCCTGTCTCCTCTCTCAACTCCCCCCCTCTCTCTCTCTCTCCGCTCTCTCTCTCTCTCTCTCCTCTCCCTCTCTCTCGCTTCCTCTCTCTCTCTCTCTTGCTCTCTCTCTCTCTCTCTCTCTTTCTCTCCTTCTCTCTCTCTCTCTATCTTCCTCTCTCTCTCTCTCTCTTCCTCGCTCTCTCTCTCTCTCTCGCTCGCTCGCTCGCTCGCCCTCTCTCTCTCTCTCTCGCTCTCTCCCGCTCTCTCTCTCTCTCTCTTTCTCTCTCTCTTTCTCTCTCTCTCTCCTCTCTGCTCTCTTCGCTACTGGCTTCTGACGGAGTCTGGGTTAGGTGAGCCTGAGTGTGGGTGAGTCTGAGTATGGGTACGTCTGTGTGTGCCTGACTCTGAAGAAATGAATCTGAGTGTGAGTGAGCTTGTGTATGAGTGAGTCTGGGTGCGAGTCTGAATCCCAATGGTGCCCCTGGCAGTGTCTGGCGACTAGGAGGCCCGGGTCGACTCCTCTTTGGGAAGCCAAAATGCTGCCCCTGGCAGCGTTTGGTGACTATGAAGCCCCTGGTGGACCCCCCCTGGGGCTCCCAAATGATGCCCCTGGCAGCGTTTTGTGACCATGAGGCTCTCAAGAGAGACATGTTGGGGAGGCCAAACGGCAATTTTAGCTGAGACGTCCCACCAAAATCGGCGCGAACGGGCTCGTGAGATCAGCCAGGGTGGCTCCCCCTTGGGGCTCCCAAATGATGCCCCTGGCAGCGTTTTGTGACCATGAGGCTCTCAAGAGATACATGTTGGGGAGGCCAAACGGCAATTCTAGCTGAGACGTCCCACCAAAATCGGCGCGAACGGGCTCGTGAGATCAGCCAGGGTGGCTCCCCCTTGGGGCTCCCAAATGATGCCCCTGGCAGCGTTTTGTGACCATGAGGCTCTCAAGAGAGACATGTTGGGGAGGCCAAACGGCAATTTTAGCTGAGACGTCCCACCAAAATCGGCGCGAACGGGCTCGTGAGATCAGCCAGGGTGGCTCCCCCTTGGGGCTCCCAAATGATGCCCCTGGCAGCGTTTTGTGACCATGAGGCTCTCAAGAGAGACATGTTGGGGAGGCCAAACGGCAATTTTAGCTGAGACGTCCCACCAAAATCGGCGCGAACGGGCTCGTGAGATCAGCCAGGGTGGCTCCCCCTTGGAGCTCCCAAATGATGCCCCTGGCAGCGTTTTGTGATCATGAGAGAGTCTGAGTGTGAGTGAATGTGACTGTGAGTGAGTCTGAGTGAGAGTGAGCCTCATCTTATCTTATCGCGTCCTATCTTATCTTACCTTTATTACCCTCTATCTTATCTTATCTTGAAATCTCTTATCTTGTCTTAGCTTATCTTATATAAAGCTCATATTATCGCATCATATCTTGTCTTATCTTATTACTCCATAGGCTGTCTTATCTTATCTATTATCCTACCTTGTCATATATCTTATATTACCTTATCATATATTGTGCTATCTTATCTTATCTTGTAGTATATTATCTTGTCTTGTCTTATCTGGTGATTATCATTGGGAGGAGGGAGGCGCGAGCGGGAGGAAGGAGGAAGGAGGAGCAGTGGGAGGCGTCAGAGTAATAACAAGAACCCCAATCCTTAGGATATGGGGAAAAATAGTCTCCATATTTTTCCATATTTTCTTGGTTTTTGTCTTCCACCCCAATTCCCATATTTTCCCATATTTTCTGGGGAGTCGACGATTAATTGTGTCTGTGTGTTTTTTCCCCTCCTGACTATAGGCCTGCCTGCAAGGTGGACCCCCAGAGGACCAGGCCACTGCAGGGACCGCCCGTCGTGTCCCGAACCGTTTCCCCGACGGCCCTGTGAGGACCAGGCAGCTTCAGCCCCTGGAGCCGAACACTGGGAGCAACTTTCGGCCGTGTCCTCCTCCTCCTCCTCCTCCTCCTCCTCCTCCTCCTCAAGGATTTCTGGGGAAGGATGCTGATCCCGCCAGGCCTCTTGGGGAGGCGCGTCCCGACCAGGGAGCCGACGCGCAGCTGGCCGTGTCGGCGGGAGCCCCCCGGCCCCCGGGCGAGAGGTGGAGCACGGGCGGAAGCCCTGGGATCCAGGACTCCTTCTTCCGTTCCTTCATGCCGAAGAGACAAGTCGGCGCCGATGAGGTCAAAGCCCCTATGGAGGATGAGTAGTTCGTTTTTCCCAACTGCCCCTGCATCCTCAGGTTTGTTCGGCCGCGTGCTGATCAACAAACCTCAACTTGGGCGCCCCATGGTCTTGGGCCCCTACCGCGCATCCTTACTGTTTTGACTACCCAGACTTCCAGCGGCGTGTTTAGGAACGGGGCACTCGGAGGTCTCAACCACTTCCTCGGAACCAGCTGTTCATCTTGACGGTCTGGAGGCTAGTTCAGGCCACCAACGGCCGAAAGTGGTGAAGCAATCATCTGCCGTTGTCCTTTCTCGGCGCGAGGGTATCTGGGTCCACAGGCATCGATTTGCTCCTCCATTCCCCGAAGGGGTCCAGGCGCGAGATCGCGGAAGCCGTGGCTTGTTCTTCTATCCCCGTGCAGTCCCCCTGGCCTGCTTTTCCTACTCTCGCGGGCCCAGGGGGGCCAGAAGCAGCAACAGAGCTCAGGCCCTGTTTCCGTCAGGACCCGCTCGCTTCACGGCGACACTCCTCAGCATCCGTGGCCCAAGCCCCTCGTGGAGCGCCACAACACGCTCGGCCAGCCCCAAGGATGAGGGGCCCGCAGACCCCGAGAACGCGGGCACACCTCAAGACCCGGCTCCTTCAGGGCAACTTTACCAGCCTCGATTTTATCCCTATCCCCAAGATTGACACGCCAAAAGGCGATGACAATCTTAGGGTATGCGCCCTCAAAACATAAGGGAATCCCTAAGATTGGCGTCGTGATGAGGAGATGCCCAGCATAGGGATAGGGATATGTTCCAGGCTGGAAACAACCGTTCCCCCTCCCCGTGGCGGTCCAGGCGTGGGACCGGAAGCCGCCGTCCGCGACCACGTGGCCCCAGAGCCTCGCCAGCTCCCCGGCGGTGGAGCCGCCGCCCGGCGGCCCCCAGTCTGCGTCCCCCTGGAGCTCCTCCGAGCTGCCAGGCCGAACGAGGAGGCCCAGACATGCCCGACATCGCGACGGGAGGCTTTCGGGCGTTTGCGGCCCCTCGGGGCCCTCGCTGGGCCCCGAAGGGCCTTCGAACACCGACTCGGGCTGACACGCCGGCTCTGGGGAAAGGGCCGGGACTTCTGGGGACCCCGTTGGGAAAAAAAAACAGCTTCGGATGTCTGGGGCTCGCGGAGGATCAGATCCCTGACATGCAACGTCCTGATCTTTTCAGGACGGCGTCCCCGGATGTCCCGACCCGAACATAGCGGAACAAAGGCCTTCCTGAATGGTTAGCGACGCGAGAATGCCTGGGATTGCAGAGGGCCGTCCAGCCACAGGATGCTCTCCTGCAGCTGCGCCGCGCCGTCGAGGTTCCCGGGGGGCCCAGATAACGCCCCGAGCCGCCGCTGGAGGCCCGAGGTATTTTGCTCGAGAGCCGAGCCTCCCCCTCACCCCGTGAACAAAATCTAACGGCGGAGGGCTTTTCTACATTTCGGGCCTCGGGGGGCCCTGGGCGGCCCAACTGGGCTGGGCTCGGGGCCGGGTTCTGGGGCCCCACATTACGACGAAAAAGCGCAAACGCGTCGGAGGCTTGAGTCACGGCGGAGGAGTCAAATACATGTTCGGCCTCCTGGGGGACCCTGGACGGCCCTGGGGGGCTGTCAACAATGGAGAGCCAGTCTCGGGGCTGGGTTCTTTGGCGGCGCGCACAAGGGGGTGCAGGGAGGGGGGAGGGTTTCTTAGAAGGAGGCTGCTTCTTAGAAGGCGCCGGCCTCACATCTATAGAGAAGGCCCGTGGCTTCTAAGAAGCAGGGGTGCTTCTAAGAAGCCCTCCCCCCGCCCCCTCGCTGCCCTTCGTGGCCCTGTTGCAGCCCTTCGTGGCCCCGTTGCAGCCCTTCGTGGCCCCCTCGCTGCCCTTCATGGCCCCGTTGCAGCCCTTCGTGGCCCCCTCGCTTTGTCTCGTGGCCCCATATATGTATGCCCTTCGTGACCCCCGCTCGTTCGCGCCCGTGGTGGCCCCATATGCATGCCCTTCGTGGCCCCGCTGTCGCCCTTCGTGGCCCCCTCGCTGCCCTTCGTGTCCCCGTTGCTGCCCTCAGTGGCCCCGTCCTTACCCTCCGCGGCCCAACATATGTATGCCCTTCGTGGCCCCCGCTCGTTCGCGCCCGTTGTGGCCCCATGTGCATGCCCTTCGTGACCCCGCTGTCGCCGTTTGTGGCCCCCTCATTGTCCTAAGTGGCCCAGGTGCTACCCTCAGTGGCCCCATCGTTGCCTTTTGTGGCCCCGCATTATCTGCCCTTCGTGGCCCACGCTCGTTCGCGCTCTTCGTGGCCCCATACGCATTCCCTTCGTGTCCCCGCTGTCGCCCTTCGTGGCCTACTTCGTGTCTTTCGTGGCTCTGCTGTCGTTCTCTCTCGCTCTCGCTTTCGCTCGTCGCCGTCGTTACCGTCGTCGTCGACGTCGTCGTCGTGGTCGGTCCCCTGTCCGTCCCTCTTGGGGTCGGGTCGACGGTCCGCGGCCGCCCCGCCGATCAGCGCTGCCGCTGGCCAGGCCGACGGTCTGCGGCCGCCCCGCCGCTTGCCGGGGCCCGGCCTGCAGGGAAGAAAGGTATACCCCCCAAAATGGGTTCGATCGAAAACGAAAAGGGCGGATATCGAGGGTTTGGGAAATTCGCGTTATTCGACACTCGAGCAGATAAGGGCGAACAATCTTAAAATGATTATTGTTGTTGTTGTTGCTGGTGCTGGTGTTGTTGTTGTTGTTGTTGCTGTTGCTGTTGCTGTTGCTGTTGTTGTTGTTGTTGTTGTTGTTGTTGTTGTTGTTGTTGTTGTTAATTGTTTGCTGTTTGTTGTTGTCGTCGTCCCACCCGCGACCCGCCCCGCGACCCACCCGCGACCCACCCCGCGACCCACCCGCGACCCACCCGCGACCTACCCCGCGACCCACCTGCCACCCACCCCGCGACCCACCCGCGACCCGCCCGCGACCCACCCGCGACCCACCCGCGACCCACCCGCGACCCACCCCGCGACCCGCCCGCGACCAACCCCGAGACCCCCCCGGCGACCCGCCCGCGACCCACTGGCGACCCACCCGCGACCCACCCCGCGACCCACCCAAAATTTGTCGGTGCCTGCGGCGGGTTTCTTTTGCATTCGTTCCAGGTGGAGAACCTGCGACCCACCCGTGACCCAAACCGCGTTCAGTGTACGAATCAAAATGGTCGGCGCATGCGGCGGGCTGTTTTCGAATTCCTCCCAGGTGGAGGTGGAGACCCGCGACCCTAACTACATTCACTGCACAAGCCAAAACTGCGGCGCCTGCGGCGGGTTTCTTTTGCATTCGTTCCAGGTGGAGAGCCTGCGACCCAAACCGCGTTCAGTGTACAAATCAAAATGTTCGGCGCCTGCGGCAGGCTGTTTTCGAATTCCTTCCAGGTGGAGGTGGAGAGCCCGCGACCTACCCGCGACCCTAACTACATTCACTGCACAAGCCAAGAACGGAGGAGGCGGACGCCGACGACGACGACGATGAGGACGAGGACGCGGACGAGGAAGAGGAGGAGGAGGAGGAGGAGCAGGAAGAGGAGGAGGAGGAGAAGGAGGGCGCCATCGATAGGAAGGTGAGGGCCACGAGGTCCGCCGGCGCGACGCCCGCGTCGCCCGCGCCCGCCCCCGCACTCTTATCCGTAATAGCGGGGTGCTACGTACTACTACTACGACTACTAATACTACTACTACTACTACTACTACTACTACTACTACTACTACTACTACTACTACTACTACTACTACTACTACTACTACGATACGATAGGAAGGTAGGTAACTACTACTACTACTACTACTACTACTACTACTACTACTACTACTACTACTACTACTACTACTACTACTACTACTACTACTACTACTACTACTACTACTACTACTACGACTACGACTACTACGACTACGACTACGACTACGACTAACGACTACGACTACGACTACGACTACGACTACGACTACGACTACGACTACGACTACGACTACGACTACGACTACGACTACGACTACGACTACGACTACGACTACGACTACGACTACGACTACGACTACGACTACGACTACGACTACGACTACGACTACGACTACGACTACGACTACGACTACGACTACGACTACGACTACGACTACGACTACGACTACGACTACGACTACGACTACGACTACGACTACGACTACGACTACGACTAACGACTACGACTACGACTACGACTACGACTACGACTACGACTACTACTACTACTACTACTACTACTACTACTACGACTACGACTACGACTACGACTACGACTACGACTACGACTACGACTACGACTACGACTACGACTACGACTACGACTACGACTACGACTACGACTACTACTACTACTACTACTACTACTACTACTACTACTCCCGGCGCTACCCAGTGCTCCCAGGAGCATGGGCGGATGATTATCTTCGGCGCTCCCTGATGCTAAGATAACGCTCCGTGTGGGGGGCGGGCGCTATACTCTGGGATGGACCACCCCATGGGACGGCCGACCCAAATCAACTTCTTCTTTGGGGATGCAATCGGCATCGCATGGGAAAGGGGCGGCGTGGAAAATGAGAAAAGGAGGAGGAAGGAGGAAAGGAGGCATTCAGATATTCACTAGCTCCTAGTGCGTTGGCAGTTCGCCATCTTTTGCGTTCAAGGGTCTTGCGCTCTCACCGCCAATATTTACTGTAGATGTCGGTCGCGGGGGGGATCAGTATAGATGTTTGCGGCTTGGTGCGGTGCTAAAGATATCGCCCTGCCAAATCCGTCCCCGCGAATTGTTTATTTTCGTTCCGAGGCTGACGATAACGCAGGGGGGGTTCTCAATTGCTTCATGAGGTTACTTGGTATGCGCGCCAGATCGGACTGCATTAACACGGAGCCGAAATCGAACTGGACCGGCCAAGTCAGGATGGACCCTAACGTCAAGGCCATGTGCGCATTGGGATGCATCGGACCGTCGGGTTACCCACACATCCAATGTCTTGATTTGTTCAATTCTTGACCCTCGCGTATCCCCAGCGAGCTGCCCCCTCAGGGGCTGTGTGCATGGATCCCTCGTGTGGTTAGGTCCTACGTCAAGTCCTACACGCCCTCAGCGGTCACTTGTCAGCTTCGCTGTCTGTAACCTTGCCGCGCCATGTTGGCTGCGTATAGCTCCTTGGTTCAATTTGTGCATCGGCACTGCCCCCGGATCCTGGTCCTGGTTGCAGTTTGCATCGCCCGTCGGCAAGGTTTCGGGCCCTGCCCCGCTCCCTGGCACCACCTCGCGCAGCCCAGCAGCTCAGGCAGCTTAGGCAGCTTAGGTTCGGCCGTCGGTCCCCGTGCGCTAGGCAAGTAGGTTCGCGCGTAGCCCGCCCGACCTCTGACGCTGCTGGCGCGCTCGCCTGCGGCCGCGACAAAAAAAAAATATCCCTGCTAGCCTGTTCTCTCGTTGTCTCTCTCTTTCTCTCCCGCTTGCGCAATTTAGGCGTAACTAGTGTGTTACGACTTTCTGACGGCGTTCGGCACTTCCGCTACGCTTGCGATCAAAAAGTATCCCCACCAGCCAATCCAGAAACGATGCCCATGAAAGTTGACGGGGGGAGAGAGGAAGAGACACGCATAGTCAAAAAACGAGGGAGGCTTGGGAGGCTCCGTGGCCATCTCGAGCCGTCTTGGAGCGGTCTTGGGGCCGCTTAGAGCATCTTGGGAGCCATCTTGAGCCAGCTTGGGCTATCTGAAGGCCGCTTGGGGGCCTCTTGAGGGCCTCTCGGGTGCCTCTTGGAGGCCTCTTGGAGCGTTTTGGGGCGCTCTTTGGGCCCTCTTGGGAGCCTCTTGGGAGCCCTGGAGGGCCCCTTGGGGCCACCTTGGAGGCGGTCGGTCAAAAGAGGGGGGTCCTCGATTTCCCTCCCCCCCTCGGAGGCCACGATCCTTGTGAGGGGTATCAGAAATTGACCATCCCAGGGGCCGAAAAAAGGACCCTCTGACACCTCGGTCCCAAAAAAAACCATTGAAGGGAAGGGGCGGGCTCCCCTCCCCGAAGGGAAGAGGGGTCGTGGAAGAGGAAAGAGACCCTCGTTAGACCACCTGTCGCCCAGAGGGCTGGTGGGATTCGTGGCCCCTGCATCCCAGACATGCGACGTCGCATTTTATTCGAAATACGGGGTCCCCAGGCCAATGTTTTATCCAGAGCCGTTGTTCGACGGCCTGGGGCCCAGTGAGGGTCCCCAAATGCCGAAAACGATCACACGCCCCCCATCGTGCACTTTTCACGACGCGATCACGTCAAGGTTGCCGAAACCGAATCGGATCGCGCTGGCCGGAACCGATATCGAGGCGGATCGATCGAGCTGAAGTTGGGGTAATGCCAGGGCGTGTCACCACGGGGGGTCGCCGCCTCCCGGCGGAAACGCCATGTTCCTCGAGGACACGGGCCTCTGATAATGCTTAAAGGACCCCAAGCGTCCAACAGCCTCCTCGAGCTTCATTTCAAGTACTTTTTCGTATTTCCAACAAACAAAAGCTCAGCCAAACCATTCTTACCCTCCTCGAGGCCCCTATATCCTGGAACCTCCACTTGCAGGAACAGCTGGTGGCCCCCGGTAGTGGCGACGCCCCTTGGCACTGCCCGATGGCTCGACGGGGCCCCTGATCCTCCAGGGTCCACACGGCGCTCTCGTCGCACCCGAAGGGGCCCGTGCGCCGCTGCCGCTGCAGGTCGAGGAGGCGCGCCTCCGGACCGAGGGGGTCCCGCAGCAGCGAGAAGCAGTACAGCGAGCCGGTGGGGAAGGCGCTCCGGTTCGCGGGCGCCGCGGCTGGCGGAGGGGCCTTCGGGGGCGGGAGCTGCACATTCGCATGCAGGCCGCCAGTTTCTGAGGAGCCGCCTGGGGCCTCGAAGATTGGAAGGATGTCTGCAGCCAGGTCGGCCCAGCGGGTTAGCCCGATACCCAAGCTTCGAGTGGACCGCACAGGCGTAGCAGGGTAGGGTTCGCACGTAGTCGCAAGTTCGAAGAGATGGGACGACATGGACAGAAGCTTGGGTCCCTCCGGCAGCGCCTCCGTCGCCGCTCCTGGCGCGCTCCGCGCGCCAGGGAGGGGGGCTGATCGCCAGTCCCAAAAATCTGCGCAGACCTCCGAACATGTGTGTGTGTGCGTGTTCATGCAATGCTCCCTTCTTCCTGCTTGGCTGTGGCCTGAAATCCTGGCACCGCTTTTCGGTCATACCGTTCGTTGTCGCCAAGCCTCGGGCCCTGGATCCTTCGCGGACCGATCTGGCCCGGGAGCCGCCGCTGCAGAAGCATCTAGGGCTCCCAACTTCGCGCTTCGCGCTGCGCGAAGCGCGAAGCGCGAATAACTTCGCGCTCTCGCGCCGCCCCCCCAAAGGGAGAATAGGAGGACGAGGAGGAGGGGGAGAAGGAACGAGAACCGCGAAGCGCGAAGCGCGAATAACTTCGCGCCCTCGAGGGAGCCCTTAAAGCATGGGGCCTGGGGCCAGAGTCGTGCTTCTCTCGGTGTCGCACCTGTGACGTCGCAAGGTCAGATCTCTGGGCGCTATCCCGGCCAAGCTCATCCTGGGCCCAGGACCGGCGCGCGCGCCCTCCCTACAGAGAGACGCGATGTCTGCATGTGGCCCAGGGCCCCGCCGAAGTCTCCACCCTCTCCACACAGACCGCCAGCCCCGCATCCCCAGAGGTCCCATGCAGTGACAAGTGACAAGACGGAGGCTTTTTCGCAAAGTTCGGCCACTGGGGGCCCTCGCTGCGGCTCGGGACCGTCAGAAAACGACTCGGGATGAAAAACCGGTCCTGGGTCGGGGATCTTCTGACCCGGGTCAATCCAGACCCGGGTCAGTCAGGCCTGCAGGATCCTGCAAGCTCCTGCAAGATCCTGCGCCCAAGCCCGGGTCAACGCGAAGGATCCCTGCAGGATCCTGCACCCCAACCCTGGTCACTGCGACCCTGGCCCTGCAGGATCCTGCAGGACCCGGTGCTTTCGCGGACCCCCGTTTGCATTGACCCCCGTCTCAAGGCTCCCGACTGGGGATTGGGTCGAGACTTCCGGGGACCCCGCATTGACAAACTCTCTACACGCACGTCGGATCCCAGGGGCCCCGAGTATCATGAAATCCTTGACGGCCCCAGAGGGCCCGGCGCAGGCTCCTGGAGGCCGACCAGGGCAAAAAGCCTGCCAAGCCGTGCTTTTTCCGCGGCGCGAGCCTGCCTGGGTACTGTAAGGTCGGGCACGTCCCCCTACAGGCGGACTCTGGGAAGAAAGAATAAGAACTGTCCAAACATATGCTAAAATAACTTCAAAAAATTGAAGAAAAATTGGGGGGCTGCAATCGACTACCCCCCCCTCCCGCCCCAAGGGGCTCCCAAGAGCCCCCCGAGAGGCCCCAGGGGAGCCCACGACGCCGCCAAGAAGCCCCAAGACGCTCCCAAGAAGCCCCCAAGAGGGCCCCAAGGCGGCCCCAAGAGGCCCCAAATAGCGCTCCAGGGCCGGCGGAATGAGCGAAGCGACCAAACAATCTCAAAAAATACAAGAAAAGTCGTCCCCAGGCTATGTTTGGCTTTCTTAAAACATATTCTTCCTGTAGAGGGACGTGCCCGACTTAAGTCGGGCGTTGGTAGAACTGGGTTCAGTAGAACCTGGTTTCATGATCTGCACCGGGGGATACCCCGCGTCCCATTCCCACTGACCGGAACTGCCGCCACCCGAAAAAAACACCAGCTATATGGCAAACCTGGTTTAGTAATCCCAGACATCGGACGTCTCGATTTTTTCGAGACACGGGCCCCCAACCTCCCGACCACTTCCCCGGGACCGGTTTTTCATCCCGAGTCGTTTTTTGACGGTCCCGAGGCCCGGCGAGGGCCTCCAGAGGCCGAAAACGATGAAAAACCTTTGTCTCGATTTTTTCGAAACGCCCGAGGTCTGGGATTCTGGCCAATTCGAAGGCTCCGGGGCCCTACCACGAACCGGGGCCCCCTTACCCTGGGGTCCTGGCCACACCCGACCTTCGGGGGTAACTGACTCGACCAAGGGGCCGGCGCGCGCGCACAGAGAGAGTTCTCGCCGCCCCACCGGGTCGGGCGGCCCTGCTCCCCCCGCGCGGGCCTCGGCCGCAGGCGGCGCGCCCGCGCGGGCGCCTGGGGGAAAACGAGAAGAGGCCGCCGACCCAGACGTGTTGTCAGACATACTTATTTGTTGAGTCGGCGGCCGCAGGCGAGCGCACCAGCGGCGAGTCCAGTCAGAGTTGGGCGCGCAGAGACGAATTCACCGAAAGCGGCGGGCCGGAGTCCCACGCAGCACCTCGGCGGCCGGGCCGGCGAGTGGAGGGGGGCTGGCGGCGGCTGCTGGGGAGCTGCACTGCCAGGGTGCACGCATGCAACGCGCTGCAAAGATGGGCTGGCTGTCAGGGTGGTCGGCGGCCAAAGTTCCCAGACATACTCGCGTCGTAGAAACATCAGAACCGGCGGTTCTTCGCCATTTTCGGCCCCCCGGGGCCCTCGCCGGGCCCCATGGGGCAGTCAAAGAACGACTCGGGACGAAAAGCTGGTCTTGGGCAGAGGGTCGGAGCTTCCAGGGACGCCGTCCTGAAGAAACCAGGACGTCGCACGTCTGGGTCCGCGTCGTGGCTCCAGTCACGACGGGTGGCTCTTGGCCGTCGTCGGCCTCTCCAGGGGTCCTCGCCGGGCCCCAGGGCCGTCGCAGAATGGCTCTCTGGATGAAAAACTGACCCCTTGGGGAAAGGGTCGGAACCTCCAATCCAGGGACCCCGTGTTGAACACATCACGACGTCGGATGTATGGGGATACCAACGCCAGTGCGCCGCGGACCTCTCCAGGAGTGCCCTCCGACCAGGACTTCGATGCGAGTTCAGCCGTGCCGACGAGGGACGGGCAATGCAGCGGCGCCCTCTGGAGGGGCAAGAAACTGCACAGCACGCACGCACGCACGCACGCACGCACGCACGCACGCACGCACGCACGCACGCACGCACGCACGCACGCACGCACGCACGCACGCACACACACACACACACACACACACACACACACACACACTCACACACACACACACACACTTCTCCCAAGGTCCGCGCGGATTTGTAGGTACCCCCCCGGCACGCGGAGCGCGCCAGGGGCGGCGTCCGAGGCGCCGCCAGGGTGACAAAACGCCGATCCAAGAACTCTGCGCGGACTTCGTAGTCCCAGACCCCCGACGTCATGATCTTCTCGCAGCGTCGACCCCTGGAGCTCTCGATGCATTCCCCGGCACCCGTTCTTCGTCCCGAGCCGTTTCCTTGACGGGCCAGCGAGGGCCAGCGAGGGCCCCCCGCTGCCCAACATAGCGACAGACCGCCCGTCGCGTTGTTCTCACAGCGCGAGGGGGTCCGGGATGTTACATCCATGCGCTCGCCATCGCTCGGACGTCCATTCCCTGTGTTTTGGCTTCGTGCGTGGCTTTTTCCCCAAATGATCAAGGATGCTCCTCGATGGTCCTCGCCGAGAAAAAAATGCACACGCCTGAGCGATGCCAAGTACATGCTCTCCTCATTCGTGTTTCCTCCGAGCGCCGCTCGCGCCGCCCGCCGCCCCAGCGCCCGCGCTGGGCTCCTCCCACGCCGCCGGGCTCGCCGGGGCGCCGCCGACCGCGCCCTCGGCGCCCGCCGTGAGCGAGTCCACCCCGAAGGAGCCTCTGCCTGGGGGGACAAAAAATGGCATAAACATAAAAACTCGGAGGTCCGCGCGGATTTCTCGGATCCGCGCTGGGGCCCCCCGGCGGCGCCTCCGGCGCCGCCCCCGGCGCGCTCCGCGCGCCAAGGGAGGGGGGTCCAGCGCCGACCCGAGAAATCCGCGCGGACCTCCGAGCTTTTGTGCTTATGCCACTTCTTGTTCCCCTGCTGCCGGCGCCCGCGGCGCCCGCCGAGAGCGCGGCGACGCCGAAGGCGCCGACGTCGGCGCCCGCCGAGAGCGCGTCGACGCCGAAGGAGCCGCCGCCGGCGGCCCCGGCGCCCGCCGAGAGCGCGGCGGCGCCGGAGGGTGCCTCGCGAGCGCGGTGCCACACGTCCTCGGGCGCGCGGCCGCGCGAGGAGTGCGGCCCTCTTCGCTGGCCCTCCTGGCCCAACAAGGAAGAGAATAACCGATCGGCCGCGCGAGGGCCCTCTTCTAGGGGGCCAGCAAACCGACCTCGCTTTTGACCACCCTCGCTTCCAAGAGAGACCAAGCGATGCCAAACTGCGGCCTGTGCTGGTCAGGCCGCTTGACGAGGAGGCGCGTGGTATGACTTGGTTTTGCCCAGAAGCGAAAGCGGGGTAGGTAATTCACGCTCTGAAGAATAGCTGATCGGCCGCGCGAGGGCCCTCTTCGGCCTCACCTCTGGCTCTCCTGGCCCTCAAGAGACAGGTGGCTCATCGCCACGGCCACCTGGAAAGAGTCACGGTATGCGTTTTCGGGCGCACTGGGAGGACCACGTGATCTTCGAGAATCCTCTGCTGCAGCTTGCCGGCCGCGTTGGCGCAGACATCCCTGATACAGTCGGACCTGGGCCAGAAAAACATCCCTCCAGAGCAGGGGACCCTCCGCCGGCCAAAAAACACACAGAACATCCCAGGAGGGGCACCCTTCCCAGGACGCACAGCACAAGAACATCCAACAAGCACGAAAAAACACCAGGGTGGGTACGGCAGGTTCGCGTCGTGTCGACCCCGGCGTTGGTTTCTGACACCGCGGGGATCGTTCAACCTTGAACGATCGGCCGCTGCCGCAACGTCCGATCGTTCAACATCGATCGATTCTGGGTCGCCGGCGGCGTTCAACCTTGAACGCCCGCGCTGGGGTCGCCGCTGGTCGACACGACGCAAACCTACCGTACCTCGGTCCGACTGTCTCCCCCTCCCTCCCCTCCGCTCGCCTCGCGCCATCTCCTTTCGTGCTTCTCGCCCCTCGCCGCTCCCCGTCTCGCTCCCACCCGCTCCGCCCCTTGTCACGCCCCTGGCCGGCCCTCCCGCCTCCCCGCCCCCCCGCTCGCAGCACGATCAGCGGTACTCACAGCGGCTCCATGCCCCTCCTCCTCCTCCTCCTCCTCCTCCTCTTCTTCTTCTTTTTCTTCTTATTCTTCTTCTTCTTCTTCTTCTTATTCTTCGTCTTCGTCTTCTCTTTCTTCTTCTTCTTCCTCCTCCTCCTCCTCCTCCTCCTCCTCCTCCGCCTCCGCCTCCTCCTCCTCCTCCTCCTCCTTTTCCTCCTCCTCCTCCTCCTCCTCCCCTCCTCCTCCGCCTCTCCTCCTCCTCCTCCTCCTCCTCCTCCTCCTCCTCCGCCTCCTCCTCCTCCCCCTCCTCCTCCTCCTCCTCCCTCTCCTCCTCGCGCGGCGGGAGAAAAAAACAGAACCAAGGGCATTTGTTTGGCTTGTTCGGCCTCCGGGGGCTCGGGATGACACGCGGGTCCCCAGGAAGTGGCGTGGACCTCCTGGGGTCCACGTGGCACAACAAAAAACTACGTCGGGGAGGTCCGGCAGCGCTACGGTCGCCACGGCCACGGCGGCTTGGCAACACGCTAGGTCTTGCGAACGGATGGCAACGTGTCGCTCCGCTCTGCGGGGCGGGACATTCAGAACAGCTCGGCGCGTGGACGCCTCGCGACCGCGAGGTGGATACATGTCGCGCCAAAACGTGGTAGAACCGCATGTTGCCGCCGTCGCCGCCCCGTAGCCACCTCGTCGCCAATCGCCATGTGGGCCCGGGTGCCAGTCTGGCGGCTATGTTGCCGTCGTCGCCGCCCCCTCGTTGCCTCGTCGCCGCCTCGTCGCCGCCCCGTCGTCCCGGCCTACATTATTTCGCACCGCTTTGCGTTGCCATGCCGTGCTTAGCGTTTTGCATCGCATTGTTTGCATCACCACGCACACACGCAGAGCCTCCTATATTCAAAGGAATTCGATTATAGCCCACGCATGGGACTATCGGTACCCGTTTTCAGATTGCAATGTACATATGGTTCTGCCCGATCGTCCATCCTAAGTATGAAATCGTACCATGCCAGCCCAACCGGTATCGACACCACCCGTCATCCTCAGCGAAAAAATGCGCGCAAGCTCGTTTATCAAAGTTCATCCGTTTTCAAGCACCCCTGGCAACAAATAGGACGAAGTGCGCACGCGCGCCTCATCGCGCGCGCATGCCGACATCCATCAAACACCGTAGGTGTTGGAAGGATTTCAATATCGAGTATCCAACAAGCATAGGAAACACGTGGTTTCGCAAGGGTTTTCAAACAAACTTGCACTCGCGCTTCTGCGAATGCTTTGGGAAACCATAGGTTTGTCAATCGTTTCATACAATGCCACCAAGAGGGCTTCGCGCGCGCATGTCGAAATCGTTCGAACGCCCTTGCGCGCGTGCTGTCGCAAGAACCCTTTGCAAAATATGAAACGAAGTGCGCACGCGTGCGTCGTCGCGCGTGCATGCTGCAATCCGTCAAAAACCCGCCCGAAACCATACAATCAACACATGGTTCCGCAACGTCAGTTCAAGAAAAACTGCGCTCGCGCTCTTGCGAATTCCTATATAAACCACCCGTTTGTTTTACATATTGGCTGGATTCTGCCAAATGAGGCCTCCCGCGCCGCGTGCCGGAATCATTCGAACGCCCTTGCGAACGTGCTGGGGGGGGGGGGGGGGGCACGATCGTGCCACATAAAACCATGCGGGCCATTCTCGCGCGTCGGCCGCGCGCGCATGTCGAACTCCTTCCGAAACGTCCATCACCGACGCGAGGGCGCCGTCATCGTCGTCGGCGTAATCAGCATCGGCACCGTCACTGGCCGTGCCGTCGCCGCTGTCATCGTCGTCGCCAGCACCGCTACTATCATCATCGTATCTGGCGTTGTCGACGTTGCCACGATACCGCGCCCGCCCAAGTCGCCGACTCGCAGTGAAACGCCCGCTGGGATGTACCCAGCGGTCAACGCCACCGCGGCCACGTCGGTCGCGCCAAACTAGCTGGCTGTTTCGCGCGCGAGCATGCGCGGGCTAGCGCGGCCGTAGAGATGCACCAGCCAACACCAAACACTCATCGCAATCGCCGCCAGCGAATGGGTTTTGCAAACCAAGTTGCGGGTGGGTGGGTGGGATGATTGCGCGAGCAGTGGAGATGACAACTTACTGCGAACGAACATTATTTGCACACCACAGATTGCACCGCATAGATTGCTCGACAAAGATTGCACAACATGAAGTGCCCAATAGATATTGCATCACACTGATTGCACGTCGATTGCTGCACCATAGATTGCCAGACACTTACTGTTTGGGGCCCACGCTGGCTAACATAGAATATGAAGCCGTCGCCCCGCAGGGCGCGTGTCAACGTGCCGCGCTCCCTCCCGTCCGCTCGCTTCGCCTCGTGCGCTCCCTCTCTCCTGCGTTCCCCCCCCCCTCCCCCGCCCTCGCTCACGCCCTTCCTTCCTCGAAATGCCCTCGACTGTTCAGGACACCCCCCCCGCGGGCTCTGCTTCACCATGGCGCGCGCCCTGCCACGCAAAAGAGGCGCGTGCATGTACGTGTGTGTGTCCGTCTGGCTGCCTGTCACTGTCGCCCCATATGCCCGCCTCTGCTTTCTGTCTGTTTGCCTGTCTGTCTGTCTGTCTCTCTGCCTGTCTCTGTCTGTCTGTCTGTCTGTCTGTCTGTCTGTCTGTCTGTCTGTCTGTCTGTCTGTCTGTCTGTCTGTCTGTCTGTCTGTCTGTCTGTCTGTCTGACTCTCTCTCTCTCTCTCTCCCAGTGTCTGACTCTCTCTCTCTCTCTCTCCCGCCCTGCGAGACTCCTGCTCCTCCTCGTCCTCATCCTTGTTCTTCATGCCGATCCCGGGGGGAGACAGGGCCCACGGTGTGCTCGCAGTCCTTCTCTCGACAGCTCCCCTCCTCGAGGGAACCAGATTGCCAGCGACACCGCGCTGACAGAAGTTCCTCCCTCTCTCTCTCTCAGCAGTGGCTCGCACAGGGGGGCCCTCTCAGAACTCGTTCCAGCACGGCCCCCAAGGGGCAACGGGAGGGAGCATAGCCGCAGACCTGGACCCTCGAAACACACAGTGGCTCCCCCTCTCGTATCCAGATCCATGCCCTTGAAGTCTGAACAGCGAGGCGCAATCCAATGGACACGCGATCCCGCCGACACGTTCCGCGCGGGGCATCCTCGCAGCGCCGTCCTGTATCCACGGGGTCGCGACCGAGGAGCCCAAAACGCGAGGCCGCGGCCATCGCACGGCCTCCCACCCTTGCTTCCGATCCTCAGACAGCCGCCGATGTGTTTTTAGTCCGCTGGCCCCAGCTGGTTCCCGATCCCTTCCCAAATTCGGGCGATGGCAGAACTAGGTTTAGTGGCACCTGGTTCAGTGATCTGTACCGGGGGCACCCCCCCGTCCCATTTCTACTAACCGGAACTGCCGCCACCCGAAAAAAACACCAGCTATGGCAAACCTGGTTTAGTGATTCTGGCTCATTCAAAGGCTCTGGGGCCCTACCACTAGCCGGGTCCCCTTACCTGGGATCCTGGCCATGCCCGACAGATTTCCGAAACCATTTCTGGTGAACCCGAGGCCCGAGAACGACGCCAGGATCGAGACGCACCGACCAGCCGGAGGCCTGGGCCGCCTCTCACCGCGGCGGCGGCAGCTCCTCCGTATAGGAGCCGGCGGCGGCCGTGGCGAGAGCGCAACCGTGGCGTGCCTGGCCGTGGGGATGCCGCGGCAGCGGGGGATAGCACGCAGGACGCGGCACCGGAGAGAAAAGGCGCCGCCAGACGGGGCCCTGGCCACTGGCGGCCACCGGCGGGGGCCGCAGACGAGGCCCCGCGCGAGGAGCCGCCCGTCCACCCGACGCGCCCGTCTATAGGGCCCCGCCCGTTCTCGGGGCCCCGCCCGCCGAAGCCCCGCCCGCGTTATAGGGTCCTCCAGGGCGCGCGGCGGCTGGCCGCGCCGCAGGGTGCCGCGCGGCGGCCGCGCGCCGCGGGGCCGCCGGGAGGCCACCGCGAGGGCGGAGCCCGCGGCGAGCGTGCCGCCGCACAGCACGAGGCCCACGGCCCAGGCCCGCCAGAAGCCCGCCACGGCAGCAGGCCTCCTCGCCGCCGCCGCCGCCGCGGGAGCGTCGGATCGCTCTGGGACGTGCTCGCCGGTGCTCGGCGTTTCTCGAGCGTCGGGATGCCTTGCAGCGGCTGCGCCCTCGCCGAAAGCGACGGGGGGGGGGCCCAGATCGTTCCGAACGGCCGCTGGAGAGCTGAGTTATGACCCGAAAACCCGCGGGGTCGGATCCGAGGGGGAACCGCATCGACTTGGAATCGGGGATGCATCGGCCATGGATCGGCGACAGCCCCCCGAACATTAGCAAATCCGCACGTTCCTGGGCGGGATGATCTATCGGGCCCGTCTGCGGTGAATATGGACAGTGGGGGTCCGTGGGTCCCCCCCGAGCCCCTCTCCCAACGTTGCCCCTGAGCCGCCATAGTGGGCGGCGATGCACCCCCTTCGATATTCCGCTTCATTTTGTCTGAGGTTCAATTCGTCTGCTTCGTCCGCTTCGATTCGCCTGGTCTTCGAGAGAGGCCGAACCAAAAGAGGACGATGCGAACATACACGAATCGAAAGAGGACGAAACGAAAGCGGACGAAATGCAAGCCCCGCCCTCCCCCCCCGAACCCAAACGCCCCCCAACATTCGGTGGTTCGAGATGGGGTCCTGAGGCATGGGCTCCTACGGACGAGGTGCCTCAAACAACGTAAATCCACCATTGTCTCCCTTCCTATCCTTAGGACCCCATCCCTCAGGACCCCATCTTTGAACCACTGAGACGTAGCCCCCGAGCAGGAGGAGGACCAAGAAGAGGAGGAGGAGGAGGAGGAGGAGGACGAGGATCAGGAGGCTCAGGAGGAGGAGGACAGGACACAGGACCAGGAGGAGGAGGAGGAGGAGGAAGATCAGGACTTAGAGGAGCACATCGTAGAAAAGGTCAACACCTCAGGCTGTCGGATCTGAACCGCGACTCGCCTCATCTGAACCGCGACTCACCTCGCGAGTAGCAAGTGAAGGCGACAGCAACGCAAATCGAAAGCATACCTGGGAGGCAGGCGCACACCTTCAGGACAAGGACGAGCAGCGCGTGGAACCAGAAGACCCTGGCAAGGACGACGAAGGCGCACATCGTCCATCTCACTGCACCCAGCGCAAGTTATCGTCCTCGTCGCTGACGCAGAAGCCCGCGGGGGGGGTAGCGATCCCAGAACCACGGCATGATATCGGCTCTGATGAACATCTCCGGGCATACGCAGACAGGACACGGCTGAACTCCGCCACGGCGAAAGCGAGCCTGTCGAGGACGATCAGAATCTCGACTGCAGGACGCGACAAAAACGCGAGGCGGCGGCCGACGGAGATGGCGGGCAAGGCCGCGGCGAGGGCAAAAACGAGGCCGAAGGCGACGCAGAAGCGGCACACGACGAAACCACAGCGTCCCTCACGTCGTCGACGCGTTGCAACACCTCGTTCAATGATGTGCGCACGGTGTCCGTGAAACTCTGCGTGACGATGGACTCGACTTCACGGCGGTATCGTCCCGAAAGTTCGTGAACATGGCCTTGACCACGGCGTGGAGGTTCTCGACAGCAGTGTCGCGCATTACTCGACGGGGTCGGCGACATTTCCACACACACACACACACGCTGCACAGGCACAACGTGCACCCGCACCTCGAGATCGCCCCGCGATTTGGCGATGGCCTCCTTCTGCCTCGCGAGAAGACGCAGCGCGTGCCCGCGCTGAGCAGCCAGCACTTCCGGGTCACCACCCGAGGCGGTGGGCCGAGAGACGGCATGGGCAGCACGGGGTGCGGCAGCAGCTGGCACGAACGACTCCGCGTCGGCACGCCGCGGGGCGGGCAGCCCAGCGCCAGCATGAGCCCAGGGGTCGGCGCCGGCAGCACGCCAGGAGTCGCCACGCGAGGCAGCGGAGGCAGCTGTCTTCCCGACGCTGTGCTTCGCAGCACTGGCGGCCCCTGTGTATCTTCTGCGCCTTGGCGTGTTCGCCTTGGCCGAGCTTTCGCACGCACCGCCAGCGAGGCCAAGCGAGCCGAACGCTGTGGAGGAGCAGTACCTTGGGCGTCATGGGCGGCGTGGATCTCCAGGGACTGCGTGACCACGCGGGCATCCTCCTGCAAGCTGCACGGGCCACTCGGCCAGCGGCGACCCAGACGCGGGCGGTGAAGGCCACGCTCGGCGGCTCGGCGGCGCCTGGCGAGCAGCTTCGCGGGCGAATGCTGGAGCAGCATGGGCGAGGATCAAGGGGCCCAAGGACACACAAATAACTACACACAAATAACAGGATCCCCCATATGTTCCTATATTTCATGGGTTTTTTCATCTTCCCCCCCACTTCCCATATTTTCTTATATTTTCTGGGGGATCGTCGATTTCTTGTGTCTGTGTGTTTTTTCCCCTCCAGAGAGGAGAGCACAGGAAGAGGAGGAGGACCGCGCGGGGCAGTGCGCAACCAGGCCTCAGACAGAAAGCAGCCCGCCGCCAACTGCAACGCCCCGGGAAGCCATGCCACGCCGGATTGAGCCGCGGGGGGGGGTCGCTCGCTGGTGCGCGGCTTGAGCCAAAATGGCTTGAGCCAAAATGGCTTGAGCCAAAATGGCTACGGAGGAAGATTTAGAGGAGCAGGAGGAGGAGGAGGAGGAGGAGGAGGAGGAAGTGGAGGATCTGGAGGAGGATTTGGAGGAGGAGGCACGTCTCGCGTCCTGGGGCAGGCAGAGCGCGGCCCAGGGATGCGGCAGAGGAGCTCCGCGGCGGCCTCGTATCAAGGAGGCACAACGCTGGAGTACACGTGCGGATGGCCAGCGTGCCCATTCCCGCGGGGACCGGGCTGCCAGAGAGACCCGCGGGCACATGAGCATGTGGCTCTCGTCAAGGCTGGCCACACCAGTTGGGAGCGAGCTTCCAGGTCAGGGTCGGGCAGGGTCCTCAAGGACTAGCGAGCGCGTGTGGCGTGCACGGACCAAAGCGCGCAGATGCAGCCAATGCCCCAGGCCTCCGAAGTCGTGCTTTATCCACAGCGTCGACCCCCAGACTTCTCGGGGACGCGCGCTTCATCAAGAATCGTTTTTGACGGCCCCGCAGGTCCCAGGAGGAGGTGTGGGGCTAGCGATGCGACATCTCGGGAAAAAGCGGAGACATGGTGGTGTCTACGTCTCCTGGACCTGAGCACTGCAGATCCCTGGGCACGACATGGACTAAGAGGTCTCCGCCGGAAATCGCTCGCAGAGTCTGCTCGTTGTATGCCTCCTTCTCCCCACTGTCTGAACGTGCGCAGTTGGACACTCGGGGCAAATGGCCTGGCAGACTTTTCAAACGGCATCATGAATTCCGAATGTGTACCTGGAGGCGAACGGGCAGACCTGCCAAAATATGGGCTGATGCTCAGTTCATGGCAGAATTATGATTCGTCTCACGCGTTCCACCAACCGCGGCCTGCCCAGGCCCTAAACTCTCTCGGCTGCCAGCAGGGGGCCGCTCCCGGCAGGGAGTGGACGTCTGGCCGCTCGCTCGCTCGCTCTCCCCCTTGCCCCGAGGAAGAGAGAACTGCACCAGCAGCAGCTTCCGGAGCTCGCGCATCTCTTGGATCGGCGCGGGCACCCCCCCCTCCCCGGGGCGCGGAGCGAACCAGGGGCGGCGCTGGAGGCGCCGCCGGGAGGCCCACAGCGCGGATCCCGGAACTGCGCGCGGAACTTGCGAGCCCCGGGAGTCTGGTCTGCATCTCTGCGGCGCGCGCGGGGGCCCTGGCAGTCCGGGCGGGGCAGTTTAAAAGGGCCGATTCGGGGTGAAACTTCGCGGCGAGGTTCGGGCCCGGAAGGTGGCCGAGGTGCGGGGCTGGTAGCATGGCCGAGGTGCGGGGCCGGGAGGATGGCCGAGCTGGTAACCAGCCATGTAAGGTCCGCGACCGTCCCAGACGACCCGGCGCAGACAACGCGGAACTCCGAAAACGTATGTTCATGCCGTTTTCTGGTGTGTCGCTCGATCCTCTCCAACCCCGCTTCTCACAGGGAGCTGGAGCCGGAGCTCGAGGCCGCCGTGCTTTTCTGTGGCGGCGGGGCCGAGGCCAAGGCGAGCCCAAGCGTGCTCGAAAGCTGTCTCCGGTAGGCTGCGGCGGCTCTCCGGAGGCCTCCCACAGGCGGTCCGAGCGAGGCAGGGTCGGAGAGCGGCGGAGGAGGCGGAGGAAGAGGAGGAGGAGGAGGCGGAGGAGGAGGAGGAGGAGGAGGAGGAGGAGGAAGAGGGGAGGAGGAGGAGGAGGAGGAGGAGGAGGAGAGGAGGAGGAGGGAAGGAGGAGGAGGAGGAGGAGGAGGAGGAGGAGGAGAAGGAGGGGAGGAGGAGGAGGAGGAGGAGGAGGAGGAGGAGGGAGCGGAGGAGGCGGAGGAGGCGGAGGAGGAGGAGGAGGCGGAGGAGGCGGCTGAGGCGGAGGAGGAGGAGGCGGAGGCGGAGGAGGCGGAGGCGAAGGAGAAGGAGGAGGAGGAGGACTTCGAGGACATCGCAAAAAGGATCAAAATCTCAGATATTCAGATCCGTCCTCATCAGACAAGCTGCCAGTGCATGCCAGTGGGAAACCACCGTGGCCTTCCCAGAGAAGAGAAGGAGGAGGAGGAGGATGAGGAGGCTCGAGGAGGAGGAGGAGGAGGAGGCTCGAGAAGGAGAAGAAGGAGGAGGAGGAGGAGGAGGAGGAGGAGGAGGAGGATCGGGCCAGGGCGGGATAGCAAAGGGGGGTTTGGGAATCAGCTCGCGTAGCTGATTTTCCAGGCGCCTCCCGGTGCCGGAAGCGACCATATGTCGAGGAATGGGCCCCTCCGCGGGGCCGAAACCAACTGCATGCAGCAGATTTCGTAACCCCCCCTTTCCCCCCCCCCCCCCTTTCACCCGACCCGAGAGGAGGAGGAGGTGGAGGTGAGGAGGAGGAGGAGGGAGGAGGAGGAGGAGGAGGAGGAGGAGGAGAGGAGGAGGAGGAGGAGGAGGAGGAGGAGGAGGAGGAGGAGGAGGAGGAGGAGGAGGAGGAGGAGGAGAGGAGGAGGAGGAGGAGAGGAGCGAGGCAGGAGGTGGAGGAGGAGCAGGGGGGAGGAGGGGGAGGAGGAGGAGGAGGAAGAGGAGGAGATGGAGGAGGAGGAGGAGGAGGTGGAGGAGGAGGAGGAGGAGGTGGAGGAGCCGACGCACAGGCAACGCGCAGGTGGAGAAAATCGGGCTCCACATAGAGCCGCCTCGCGGTGCATCGTCGATGCGGCGCGATCCTCGGGCCCCATCTACGTGGACCTCTTCTGGGAAGCTTGGAATACAGCACACGCGCGCGCATCTTGTGTCGGGGACCGGCAGAAGTACACACAGGCCAGGCCAGCCCAGGCCGAGCGTGGCACGCGTCATAACCCTGTGTGGCCCCTCCAGAAGCAAAGACTGCCAAAGACCGCCGAATGCGCGACAAGCTATACGTATCCTCCCTCCCCCCCAATTCCAGGAGGGGACGGTGACCTTCCAAATTCGTGGTGACTCCCCTTTGGCACTGACCGACTGGTGGTGATCCGCCTTGGCACTGGCCAGATGGTAGGGACCCCAGCACTGAGTGAATGCCGGGTCGAACGAAAGGGAAAGATAGCAACGGGCGGGTTAACGAGATAACTCTTCTGCCTGATCTCCCCGGCGGTGGCACCAATGAGCCGACGAAAGCGCTCGGCGGCGGGGGTGGAACCAGTTGCATGGAGCAGACTTCGCAACCCCCCGCACCCCCCCATTCCGTGAGATCTGGCGCAACACCGCAAGAGACACGACCAGAGACCCAAATGCCATCTTCCTGCGGCATCTTCCGAGCCGCTTCGATCTCCGATGGGCCCGGGGCCCGGAGCCAGGCGAGATGGCCCAGTGCGCGAGAACTGCAACGCCCGGAGCTCGGGGTCGACCCGAGAGATGGCGAGGGCCTTCGCTGCCACGATGCGCAACGCGCAGCACGTAGCGTGCCAACACGGAGCTTACGACGCAGGCTGCAAGCGTCATGATGTCTGGGGCGGTACGCTCGCCAGAACGTGGACCAGCAGGTGCCGCTTCGGAAGCCTGGCCACTCAGGGAGTTGCAAGAACACTTGCAGATCGCACAAGTGATGCTGCAAGCTGCGCGC